ACAAGACTTGGAACATATAGAAGAAGTAGCAAAGATCAGTAAGTCAAAAGCTTTTATTAGTTTATTTCAAACACGCAAAAGAGCTTCAACATCATCAATTTACATAATATTAATACCTTTCATTTTCCAAGACCCTGTATGCAAACGACATTCATTCTAGTAGTGGAGTTTGTCGCCATATCTAACTCCAAGTAGATCTCAGCACCTCTTGTAGAACCCAAGGCGATCCTCATTTGACCATCCCTCAACACATCCAACGCCACCATTGATGATATTTGTTTATCGCACCGTACGTAGCCTGGAACCCTACAAGCCTTCAAGTATGCGTTTCTTGGAGTCCAATTTCCAGTGATAACAACGTGACACGAGGGCTTTGGGGATTGTGAGGTCATCTAACACCCGAGTGGTGTCTTGGAGGAAATGTCTGGATCATCGGATCAACAAGTTCTGGTTCTTGTAATAGATTCAACTCCTCATTGACCGTACGTAATTACCGTTCCTACAATGATGTTTTGAAGGATTAGTGCGTTTTAATTTCCTTTTATTCAAAATACTTAACCCTATTCAATAAGATAAAAGATTCCTATATAACCTGTGAACAAATTTAAGTGGCGGCCAATAATAAGTTGTAGGTCTGTAGCTCAACTGACAACTCTTCTCACAAGAGGCTTTGCGTTCCAAGTTCGTTGCAGAAGAACAAATTGAATGGCAAAATATTGCTGTAGTCATGGCAGAGGAGTTACCATGTGAGTTGGACTGGACCTTGGTCCAAGTATTGCTTGCTCTCAACACATTGATTCGTGGAAGATGGATCACAATCATCTGCATTATTTGTTTTTTTATCACCCTTGTTTTTGTTGTGTAAAAAAAAATGTTTTTTTAAATTATTTTTTGTATTTTTAAATCTTTTTGATATCTAAAGTAAAAAAATAAAATTAATAATTAAAATCAAAAGGCATAATGGAACTTGGATTAGATAATGAAAATATCCCTATTACGCAATAACTAAATAAATTAAAATCGCATTATCAAAAAAATAATAACAAATTAAAATCATTAAAACTCGTGGTTGAGGAAGCTAGCACTATGCTTGCTTGTAGTCAATTTGATCAATGTCCTTTTAGGTAGGCAAGAGTCTACCGGCTTGTCTTTAATGAATTGGATCGTTAGGGGTGGCCCGATTCTGCGTACCGAGCCTATAAGGACAGACGGGTTCTGTCTTTTTCTCACAGGCATTTATTTGTCTCCAGCATTGTCTCCAGCGCATGTTTCTACACCGAGCATTGAGGCATGCATTTTGTCTCCTTTTTCTCACAGGCATTTATTTGTCTCCAGCATTGTCTCCAGCGCATGTTTCTACACCGAGCATTGACGCATGCATTTTGTCTCTGGCGAGTGAGGGTGTATTGTTTTTATATCTTAAAAATACTTTTAAAAAATTAATTTTTTATTTTTATTTTAAATTAATATTTTTTAGTATTTTCAGATTATTTTAATATATTTTTAAATAAAAAATAATTTAATGTGCACTGGATCAAATAAAAAATATTTTAAAAAACAATAATTCAATGTGCACTGGATAGGAATAGGAAGCTGGCAAGCCCACCTATCCATTTTATTGCATGGTTGAGAAGGGTCGCAGGTCACTAGCTTGTTGATCAGAACATGATTTCTTCCCCACGGGTCTCCTCCTTCAGGCTTGTGCCCGTGGATCTGGCGCCACCCCAGTTCATGTACTGGTTAAGGTGGTCAGACATCCACATGGCGTGGCTTTGCTTTGCATAACCGTCCTTCATCTATGCAAGTAATGGTCGGGACTCGGGACACTTCAGCCCTATTTCCTTAGTCCTCGGCTGGGAATAAAAGGCCGAGCTACCATCAGGAAGCAAAGGAAGTCTTCTAGAACCGCAAACATACCTCAACTCCAAAGACTATGAATCGAGTTGAAACCAGAGAGAGCCATCTATAGCGTTGCAACTTTACGATGGAACAGTGAGTCAGATTTGACAACCTACACAATCAGCATTAGTTCTCATGAAAGAATGTTCAGGTTCACACCATGACTGATCAAACCACATGTACCTGATAAAACGGCATGTATTTCTAGTTAAATATAAAAAATCGGCTCATATATATATTATCTGATCTAAGATGTTCCATAACCTCCGATCCGTTGCTCTTCACAAAATATACAGATGAACAATGGTGAATAACCTATTACTGTGTTTCAAAATACAACAAGGCATAAGAGAAAGCAGCAGAAGAGAAAAATTGAGATTCTGTTCAATGACTTGGCTGCCAGCATCTCATGCCTCCTCATCCTGGGGCTACTAGTTCCGGCCAAGTGATATGAGCTTGGAAATGCACCGAAAACCCTTGCATAAACCATCTCCCTTAACATCCCAACAACTGGTTCCTGCAAACCTGTCATCGTAGGGTCTCCAAGGTTAAGTAATGGATTAGAATTGTAGTTATGGTTCTGGTAAGGATTACGGTATGGAAGCCGCTGGCTGGTATTAGATGTGTTCGACATGACACCTTGAGCACCACAAGCTGATGGTCTGGGAGGTATGATCGTACCCCTATATGGTGCCTTGCCTTCAGCTTCAGTTGAGCCTTGGCCACGGCCATAGAGGGGGACCATGGTAGTGTGAGATATATCAGCTTTGCATACTGGGCATTGCGGATGCTCATCAGAGGCAAGGGAGGCGCTCTGGACATGGAGCCACTTGTAAATGCAGGGCCAGCAGTAGAGGTGACCACAGAGGGTGACTACCGGCTCATATGCAAAATCAAAACAGATATTACAGTCAAAGCAGCCACTAAAACTTTCGGAGTCGGCTGCTGCACTTGAAACTGATTTCCATCCCTGGGCAAAATATCGCTCAATGTCCATGGCTCTATTCTCGCGTCCTTCTTTAACTCTGAAATAGATAAGAGAAATCAAACCAGATCAGTAACAATTTTCCCTCATCAACCAAGTTGAAGAACCAAGCTAACTTGTAAACTTCCATGAATACACAATCTGAAACTCACTACTTGGAAGGGGAACTGGGCAAGAATAAAGAACCAGTAAAGATACCACTTGCGTGTATAAGCATATAAAAAATCTAGACAGGCACAAGCTATATGCCAACAGCCGCATTAAGTTCATAGCAATTGCGTGTCTAACTCAGAATAATAAATGCATAGACCAAAAATCCCCACGGCCACCTAGCTCCCCGTCAACAAAACAGAGGGGGGGCGCCTCAATGACCCCTCGGATAACTCATCTGACAATATTTAAAACTTGAGTACACATGTGAAACAGATGCATTCCTGCTACCCGTCTTGTTTTTCTGGGAAGTTTGGAACTGTAGCGGAAGGTGTTACTTAAAAAAATTCAAAGAAAAATATATTAAAATAATTTTTTCATATTTTTTTTATTTTTATATCATTAAAATTAAAATAGAAAAAACATCAATTTAATATTTTTTTCAAGCTAAAATATTGTTAAAAAAATATCTAAAAAACAGAAGCCGAAGGACAAACAGCCTCTAGTGTTCTTGGTGAAATTACGCTTTACGATTTCCAAATTCATTTCCCATGAAAAAGCAATGATGAAGTAAAGGGCTAAAATATACTTTGACCTTCTAGTAAGAAGGCCACTTTTCAACAGTTCCTTGAACAGTGAATATAGATTTGGTCAAAATCCAAACATTCTAGATAAGCACCGCTTTCTAAATCCTTGGAAGACATGCCACGTACATCCTAAAAAAACCAAACCTTTCAAAGATAAAAAATAAGACATGAAGAACAAGTTGAACACAGATAAGATCAGGAAGAGCAGTTCCCCACGCAACAAAAATTCATTAAAGAATTCAATATCGCATGCCTTTTAGTCCATTAAAGTCCAAGTTCTGACTAATCTTCTTCAAGCACAAAGCAAATTCATCTAAATCTCTTTTTAGTTGGCCCAGTGAAAGTGACAACGAAGGAGTGAATAATCAGCAAAATGATCGTTCATTTAAACCAAGATCTAATTAATTAAATAATTATGTGTCGAGTTTATTAGGTTGGAACTGGTAAATCATGGAAAAAATTAAAATATAAAATGACCAGGCACTGACCCTTCAAAATTATATATATGATAAAAAAAATATCCAAGCATTGGATTCTTGTTAAATCATATTATAATCTATGGCAGAAAAAACTACCAAAAATTAAATAAAAAAAAGTCCTTTCTAGAACCCATGAACCCAGAAAGATGGCAATAACTTCACAAAAAAAAGCTGGTTCTAAGTAAAGGTGATCACTAGCATCAACAAGGAACCTGGAAACAACATCTAATTAATTGTGAAATTAACCATATCAAAAACAAAATCTAAAATTTTGTAGGGGTTTTTTTTTAAGATGGCTAAGAAGAAAAAAGTTCGAATTGGACCCAAAAATTGTGAATTGGAACTAAAAATTGTGTGATTCTTCCACTTTTAAATCGAAGTTTTCCACTTTTACACAAATAAAAAATTGAAAATCAGAATAAATCAAATCTCATTCCTCTCTCATTAAGCTGTTTTCCTTCATTTTCCTTGCCTTTACCCCCTTTTTCCTAGAAGCCTAACAAAACACACTATACATTTCAATCAACCAAAAACAAAAGATAGAGATCCAAGATCTATGCCACAATCACAAATCAAGAATCAAAACAAACAACAAGCGAAGTATAAGAAATGAAGCACAATAAACAAAGAAAAAAAATCATCAGCTAAAGAAGCCTATAACCAATTAACTAGGGATTACCTGGAAAGGAAATTAGAGATAAAATAACAGTGAGTTCGTTAGGCTTGATTAAAATGAGAGGCTTCGCAATGGAAATTTTGCGAGAGAGAGGGAGAGGTAGAGATTGGCAAAGGGCATTGATGAAGCAGAGTCTCTCGGGAGGGGTTTCTATATAAAGGGGGAAATCCAACGTCCGTTTCGTTTGAGATTATATTTGTTTATTTTTTTCGATTATGACGTAGCCGCTTTGACATGTGTGGGTCCCGCTCGGTGTTTTTAATTTGACGTGGCGTCATCACTCACAGTCGGCTATTTGCTTTTCTGTTTTGAAAATATTTTTTAAAACAATTTAAATGTTTTTT